TAGAATTGAAATTGAGCGAAAACTTTGCGTCCATGCATCAACCTCAATCAATTTATGGGTCTGCCTTGGCGGCTTCAGGTTCAATGTACTCTCTTATAGCCAAGAAATGATGGCTCCCTGTGGAGTTGATGCACTTACAAATATTTTATACTGTCTATCTGTATGTCTATAAGATCTCAAAGAGTATCGGCTATCATATAGTCTTTTTATCCAAATTTTTAAAACCTATTTTGATTTTGCAGTGTCGAATGAGATCGAAATCCTGCCGTATGCCGGTGTCAAAGTTCATCGCATGTTTTTTGGGGGGTGGGCTGGGTTGGCGAATCTAGAAAAATGCCACATGAAAACGGTGAAGCATAAAGACAATGGGCAGACGTCGACGTTGGATGCTTGTTAGGCCTCGAACAACTTGAAACAAACAAACTGAAATGCCGCTACAAAGCAACAAAAACCAAAACAAATAACAAGCAGCAAGTAAACAATAACAAAAAAATACAAACAAGAAATGGTTAATGTTGGTAAACAGAAGCCGATTTACTCTTTGCAAATTGAAAAGATTATTTCAAATGGAAGTGGCTTAAAAATTAAAATTAAAGCATTATTTACGACTATTGTTTTCTTATAAATCAAATAAAATAAATATAATTTTTAGATGATTTAACATAAGACACTGTCTTAGCCTAAAAGCCTCAAACCTCATTCAAAATCTGACTATACCCCTTTGGCAGAGTTAGTCTTGAAAGAAAAAATAATGCAAATGTAGAGGGAGGATTGGCGGATCATTTGTTGTTGCCTTTTTGGTGGCTGCTCTGTTGTCATTATTTATTTATGCCCAAAACGTTTCATTTTCATTTGGCTTTGGCCAAAAGGGAGACATCGGAGTATTGGTTTTGGTTTCGGCTGGTCTGAAACCTGAAAACTGGGTTACTGGCGCCTGTTTCGGGCTACAAGATCGTGTCATGCGATTTCTATCTCTGTGTGACTACGAAAGCGACAACCACAGAGACAACAACGTTGTCGAACTCTGAAGAAGAAAAACCCCGAAAATCGAAACAACCGAATCCCACTGACAGCGGAGAATGAGAGCTGTGTGTTTTGGTCCATAGGAATGGTAAACTGTATACGTATGTTTGTAACTGGGTAGTTGATTTTGGGGGACTGTGACTTAAACTGGGACTGCAACTGCAACTGAAACGGCGAGTTCGACTGGGACTGTTTTGAAAACAAAAGTAAAGTGTTTGCGCCTGCGGCGTGGGCAGGAGTTGCCTTCGAAATGGGACATATAGCGAGCCGATCTCTGACTCACAAGCGCCGCCACTCGAGCCAGTAGCAGCTCTGCGATCGAGCCCTGGGAGTGGGTCATTCAAATCTATCACAGATGTTTTCCCCCAGATCGGAGGTAGTTCGGGAGGGGCGAAGTGGCGGATGGCGTAGGGCATTCAATGTTTGTTCTTATTAAATTGCTCTTAGAGAGAAAATGGGTGGTTTTTATATAATTAAAATATTAATTTCAGGAGATATTCAAAAATGATGTAATATTTTTCTTTAAATATTCAGTTTATCTATTTTTAGCCATCAGTAAAAGCCAATTTGTTCCAGTGTATGTGGCGACATGTGTGCTGAGTTCCTCAGCAGTCGCACAACAAAATAGTCACGAATTAGCGCAGTTCACATGGAAATGACTTGGGCTGGGAGGGAGACTTGGGTTGGGGTGGGGGGAGTGAGAGTGGTCAGGGGGTGGGGATACAAGGGTAGGGCCAGCCCGACATGGCTAAGAATATGCAGCTCAGTTCCAGATGTTGAAACCCAGACACATACAAACAGAAATGAGGGAAGGAGAGGAATTCTGTTGCAACTGCGTCTGAAGTTCGTTGCCTAAGTCTTTTGTTTGGCTGACGCATGAGCGAAGGAACTCGAGTGGCTGGGTGTCCCAGCTGATTTATGCGCCTGACCGCACCACATCGCACCACCTACGCACTCGCATTTCCATTTCCCTATTAGTATTTCCAACACCCCGAGTGCCCAGTTATCAACTGATAAGTAGCTTATGTAATGGCCCACGAAAATGGGTTAAAAGTCGCTCTGACAGTTTAATTTGACACTTTTTGGAACCTCAGTTTTTGGATTCGGACTCGGACTCACTCTCACTCTTTCCTGCTGTCTCTGCTTTTGAAGTTTTCTTTTTCTTCTGTTTTTTTTTTTTTGGATGGTTGGTTGGGCTGGCTGGAGAGCAGGGATGACAGAGTGCTTTTTGTTTTGGTATTTTCTTTCATATTTGCTTAACAAGATTGTGTGTATTGAATTGTCATTTCTCTTGACAATTTAATTTGGATTACGCGGAGGCTACTGAACAGCACAGAAGAGTGCAACAGAGAGTGTAGGTCGGATGAAAGGCACAAAGTAAGACGATTTTTTTTTACAAAAAATTGATAAAGCTACTGATTTTTTCATCATTTATCTTCAAAAATTGTTTATTTTGCTAAATATTTAATAATTTCAATAGCTTATTATACATTTTAAGGACAATTTATTGTAAGAAACCTATTCGAATGATTTTTTTAATTTTCAATAAAAATGTTCCAGTATTTCTGCCTTTATGGCCTGCAAAAAACAAAAGGCTGTGCCGAAACGCATCGAAGTCGAAAAAGTCACCAACCAGCAGGCCACTGGCAGCTGGAAGACAGCTCCGAAACACCGAGAGCCACAGTCGCAGACGCTGAGAGCCAAAGATTATTAATGGTCGGCCTCCTCCTGCATTTCCGTCTTGACCCAGGTTATGCAAAATGTTGGCAAAAGGCCAAACGAAAGCAGCCGAAAAGTAGAAATGTTTGCCTAACAAATGATTGCTATTTGGCCAGTGGAAGCGGCAACAAGTGCGTCGATGCGGCATTAAATGAAATGGAAATGAAAAGGCCAGCCATTAATTGAAAATGCGCATGCGCATGGCCATGGGCCATGAGTACAGTGCAGTGCAGTGCAGGGTTATGTTAACCGTTTGACTGATAACATTTAGGCCAAAAGCCCACTGTTAAATATGGTCGAAAAATGTTAGCCGCGAGTTGTTATCGCGGCGGCAAGGTAAATGTAGCAGGAAGCTCTGTTGTTGGGTTGGTGGCGACCGACCAGGCATTGTCTCAATGATTTTCTTTGATTTTATCTCACAATCAGTGCTGTTGCAGCCTGTTGCATAAACTTATTGATTTGCTATGCTAGCCGTAGCTGTTGTGAGGCTGAACATATAAACAAATCAGCTGCTGCTTGCCCCCAACAGCAATTGCATAAATCAATTTTACACAGAAAATTTGCTGTTTCTTTGGAGCCGTGGAGAAGCGGACAAGCGGACAGAGGACAAGCGGACACGAGGACAGACGACCAAGCAGACTGCCTGCCCACAGTGCGTATGATCCAAACATAGCCTGGCACATGTAAATTTGATTAAAAGCACGTTTTACCACAAAAACTGTAAGCTCGACAAGCTGCAACCAGAAAATGAAGTGCTAAAAATGAATTTCTTGGCTATTGCTAATTTCCACTGTCTCGGCCAAGAGATGACGCCTCCACTTTTGATAAATGAAAGTAAAAGTACAAACACTTGCACTTCATAGATCATTAGCGGAGTGGCTTTTAGTCTTTTTTTTTTGTTTTTTTGATTTCTTTGTAACGTTTTGTGGTGTTTTGTGCGTGGCTTTCTGCGTTCAACGAACGCTGGCCATGTAAAAAGTCATTAAAAATAGAAATGCCACAAAAAATAACAGAAAAACCGAAAACAAAACGAACCAACAGCAACCCATCAAAACTTGTTCTTTCACTTTCAATGTCACGCCACAACAGCCGCAGAAGACCTTCAACTTTTGGCCTCCCCCTTCAAAGCCTCTCTTTTCTAGTCTTTCCGATTTTGTATTTTTTTTTTTGTTGAGATTTTTGTTGTTGGCGCTTTGGGGCAACTGCTTCTTCCGCTTGGAAATTAATTGCGGCATAAAGCAAACATTTTGCGAGTCAATGTACGTAATTTGAAAATCGTGCCAAAATAGATGCCACAGACAAACTCAATTTTGGCTGGCTGCAGCAGGTGAACACCGCGAAAGAGATGGCAACATGGGTGGCAGAAAGAGATAGGCGGTAAACCGACCAACCGACCCAACCGACCGACCGGACCGATAACACCCCCGCGAATATCCAATGCAAAAATATATGCCTGCTTGTGGAGTCATTTGTCTGCATGTCGCTTTGTTGAATTGTCTATTTGTTTGCCAAAAAGTGCCATGAAGACAACTTGTTGTTGCCATGTTGCAAGTGTTTGCTGTTGCTGTTGCTTTTGCTTAGTGCTTAGTGCATTTTGGCTTTTTGCTTTTGCTCCTTGCCTAAAAGTAATTTCATTTGTTGCCCCCACTGCTGCTGCTGCTGGTGGTGCTGCTGCTGCTGCCTTGGCTGCTGCGTCCACAACAAATTACTATCATTGCTGTTAATAGTTCATTAAGTCACGGACGGGAGAGACATGGAATGGAAGCCAAGCTGAAGCCGTATGGAATCACGGATACACGGAACGTGAAACCGTAAAACGAACTTCAATCCCGCTGCACGCTGCAAGTGGCAGAATAATTGAGTGAACGGCAAGATAAACATTTCAATTTTGTTATTAAGTCATCAATTAGACGAATTGAAATCAGACTTGCAGGGTGAATTGGCCGTTACATTTGATCGATATTCGGAGATATTTATGTATTTGCAGAGCAATCTGAAAGGCATTAAAGTTTCGCAATTAAAAGGTAATAAAAACTTCTTTATTTTTCGGTTATCATGATATTGGTGGGTTTTGGTAAAAGGTATGATTTTTTTTTTGTAATATTAAAAAATAGTATAATCTATCTATGTTCTTATTTTTTTAGATATTAGTTTATAAGTTAAAAAAGCTGTAGGTTTATTTTCACAGAATGTTATGGCAGTTAATTGGTAGGCAAGACTCTTTTAAGTTATTTACAAAAATTAACTATTTTCTTACTTTATTTTAAAACAAACTCATTACAGCAAATATCGCAGCGTTCGAGTGTGGGATGTGGGTTGGGTTTTGTGACATTTGAGGAGCTTCCCGGCAAAGCTGTTGGCTTATTCTCCTTGCCAGCGAGGGATCCTCCATAGTTCTTTCGCATCACCCAAGGAGAAGTCCGCCGGGAACTCAAAAGGGAAGCAGTGTAGGTGTGCTTGCCAGGGCTGCAGGATCTCAGAGATTGTAACGTGGCCGTTGACCCTCTGAGGATTTCTAATCTGGCCAGAGCTGCCTCCAGATCAGAGTCCTCGTACCCCTCGAGTACCAGTTGATCCGGCGACTGGCTGTAAGACTTGATACTCGGAGTAGTCAGCTTGCTCATGGGCTGGATGACCACGTCCAAGTTGCTGCTGTCGGTTGACTTGGCGCTGGAAACACGCGAAGTCTCTGGCGATGGCATCTTTGGGGTGGAGGCCACAGCTTCTGGGGCTTCTGTCTTTTGAGGTGTTGGCGGCATTGAGGATAGATTCTGGTTTGTGGAGGATTCAGGTTCTGGACTGGCACTCAGTAACCTCCGAGGTAGATGATCTGCATGAGTTATGCTTTCAGGTTTCGATGTTTTCTTTGGTGTCCTACTAACTCTAGAATTGTCGAAATCTATGAATGATGACTCTCCGGTTGACAATATTGGCTTTACTAAAGTAGTTTCCACTTTCAGAGGACTCTTATCCGCTTTTCGGGAATGGAATTCAAGCTGAGATGATTCTCTTGATGGCATATTTTTCACGGGAGTTTTAATTTTCTTCTTTGAATCGAAATCAATATATGAGCCTTCTCTGGATGGCAGCATTTTCTTTTCCACATTTTTTGAAGAACTTAAATCAGTAGAAGAGTGTTCTCTAGATGACATATTTACATGATCTCTTTTCGCAGAATGTTCCTTATCAGATCTAGTTGAATTCAAATCAGTAAAGGTAGACTCCCTGGATATTCTAGCTGTATCCTCGTATAACCTATTAGGCTTATGGGAACCAGTAGTTTTCTCCACTTGTAAAGAATCAAAGTCCGTATAAGAATGCTCTCTTGAACGAACTGTTCCCTTCGGCTTTGATTTGGACACATTCTTTGAACTTTTATCCAGCTCCAAGTAGGAAGATTCTCTGGAAGTAGTTAGGCTGGAAGTCACTTTGGGAGTCTTCTTGACTGGAGTGATCGGCTGGACCGCCCTATTTCGTCCTGTGGGTACGAATTTTTCCCTGTCGGGTCGTAGAGGTTGATGGATTAGTCCCGTGCTCATTCTCCGGCCGTATCCAGGCACCTCGGGCACTGCAGATGGTCTGCCTCTGCCCCAACCGGATATCCGCTCCACGGGGGCTCTTTGGATTCCGGAACCGATGCGGCTGCGATTTCCATTGGTGACCATAGAAAGAGTGATGCGATCACGCTGCGGATTAAAGTCAAAGGCCCTGGAGGCACCTGGATTCGAGAGCCTCGAGTTGGATCGGGAGACGCTGGCCGGCTGTTCGGAGGCAACGAACTTGGCAAACTCCCTGTGACCCTTGCGAGTAGGAGCTGGTGTGACGTGACCACTAGATAAATCCGATACGGAGGCACTGGAGAGTGAGTTCCCGTCACTGAAGTGTCCATCGGTGTGGTTGGGCTTATCCCTGAGGCTCGTGTGGTCCTGGTACACTGAGAACTTGTTCTGGCTGTGGGCGAAGCTCTCGTAGGGCTTGAACTTCTTGCTTTTGGCCAACTGATCGGCGAACTTTTCCCACTCGGTGGTATTGGGTCTCCGCTGCTCCTCGTCCTTAATGTCCACGAATCTGCGACGTATCTTATGATTTCTAGGATTTTTCGTTTGGCGGAAGTGTAATTAGGTTTTGTTTTGGAAAGTTATTCGGATTATTGTTGGTTTGTGGGGTGTGGATTTTGTGTAGTGTATGTTATGAATTTGTGATTGTGTAGATAACTTGGCAAGACTGTCCGCGGACAAGAGAGGAAGGACATCTTAAGTCTGTCGCCCTTTAAAGTAAGTCCTAGTTTTGAACAAGTTATCTATATTCAATGTTTAGTGTTTGATATTCAAAATATTACCACAATTCTACGTACAAGACTTTGCTGTTGATGTTCTTGTTAGTTTGAGTTGCTGGGATCGCAAGTAAACAAAGGCAGGATATATGATATGTACATAGAAAAAGAGCAAGTTTATTTACAATTTACATACAAGTTAGAAGAGAGAAAGAGGGAAGAGAGCAATATGTTGGTAAGATATAATAAATGTATATATAATATTCGATTATCTACGACGGAACGGGTAACTACGAATCATAAGCGAACGTTGCAGGTAAAAACTACGCGTAAACTTCTTGGTGCAGTGGCGCTACGGATTACGGATTTGCGATGGGGCTACGGGTTGCGATGCGGCAGGTGCTCTCTAGGCTTACTTACTCCACGGGGGCGGAGGATTCGGTGGCAGCTGGTGGGTCAACTACAGCCGGGGCGGAGACCTCGGTCGGGGCAGCAGCGGGTGGAGTAGATTCCGCCGCCTGAGTGACCTCGGCACTGAGTTGCGCCATCTCCTCCAAAGAGGGCTTTGGACTGGGCGGACTGCCCTCCTCCTCGTTGGCCAGAGCTCTCTCTATCTCCGGCTCTGGGGTGGAGGTCTTTAGACTATCGGCATCCGCCTCAACTTTGGGAGTTGGAGCACGCGAAGAGCTCATCTCCGCCTCGGCATTCTCCTCCTTGGACTCCTGCGGCTGCTCCAAGTGCAGACCCTCCATCACCTTGTGCTTGGCCTCGTCCAGGACCTGAGTACCCTCCTTAAAGGCATTGCCCAGCTCATTGGTAATTCCCGCCACGGCACTGCCGACGGTCTCCTTGGCCGTGTCCAGTCCGGTGGTCAGTGTTTCCGAGGCGTCTATGAGTGAGAGAGGAGAATGGAAACACTTTCATTTGCCATTTCCTGATTAGAAAGCAAATACATATAATTGTGCAGTACAAGAAAAAGAGTGTTCTTTGTATTGTGAGCTTCAAAGAATTTGTAGGAGATTCGTAGGATCGCGAGGTTCTATTTTAAAAAAAAGCTTAGCACTTAACACTTTGATGTTTGCTTCATCCTTTTCTTTTAGTGTATTTTTACGTATAATATTTTTAAGTCAATGTTTTGCTCTAATTCGTTGACGGCTTGGTCACGCAACCAAGTCGTTTTTCTTCATATGCGTTAAATAAATGTATATAAATATGGTCCGCCCGGGTAATGGCAATGAGCCAGCTTTCACTTGCGACCCACTGCCAACTGGAATCGGGCCGAAAGGCTCCACACAGCACGCATTGCTTTGGCCAATTGTCCTTTATTACGTGGCTTGTTATTATAATAATGCGAAATGTGAGCACATTTATTACGTACATACGGACGCGTATATCGAGTTTCTTTTTGGCATTAAATGGTTATTCACTTGCTTGGCTTTTTATTAATTGGGGGGAAGTACATTATCGATTTGGGTGTTGGGTCAAGGATTTGTCACCTTGTTTGTACTAATTTGTCAAATATCAAGTATACGCCCGGAGTGCACTCTGTTCAAATGCCATCTGGCATCCGATAAAAACCAGTCTGGGCCAACACACACACCTTCGACCACGGCCTCGCCCTTCTCGCGGACATGGGTGGCGGCTTTCAGCATTTCGCTGCCCGCCGTTGCAACCATGGGCGTGCTGCTGGCACAGCCCATGACTTCTCCTCCTCCGGGTGGACTTCAAGTCTTACTTATCCGGCTGGCCAGACAATCGCCGAATCATGCCGATCGGATTTGGTATCAGTGCAGGAATGGTCACAGCCGAGTTGTCGGGAACGAGGATTTATTAATATCGAATATGAATATGGCAAAATAAAAATACGCCCGCCTTTGGTCACGAACTCAACGCAACTGAGCACTGACCCAAAACATTTGCTGGCCAAGTGAAGGGTCAGTTCGGCACTCAACCACCTCCACCTCCATGCTCCGTTCCTCCAGCTCCAACCATTTCCAGCTCCATCTATGGCTCCAGCACGCAACAGGACCGGACCATGGAGTACCTTCAGAGTTTGCATGTGCGTTTGCACTTCAAGTGAAGCCAAATTGTTGAGGTCATGCGCGTTGGGCGCACACTTACTTACCATTTCCATTTCCATAGTTATAGGCCAGCTCTAAAAGGGTTCTAGGTCTGCACGAAAATAAGGCGGGGCTGTGATTGGCAAGGGCTTGGGCCTCGGCATACCCGCTACTTAAATATATTTGCCATTTTTTGCCCGTCATTCAAATTAGACTACAAATTAGAGGAAAAATAATCAAAGTTTTAATTCAATTACCAGGTGTTTTGAAAATGGAGGGATATAGAAGGTATATTTTTAGAAAAAACATTAAAAATACTTAAAGTTTCAAGAAATTATAGACCTATTTTATAAATCATTCCTTTTTCCTTTATAATTTTCGGGTTATAGTCAAAACTCTAAAGGACATATGGGTATATACTCTGTTAGACCCTTCTTCAATTATCATAGAAATCTTATATCTTTTTAGATTAATTATTAAAATCATAAATTTAGAATACGAATATACCCCAGAATTACTGGAATACCTGTTAAAGAATGAGAACAAAACTAGGGAAAGTAAAGAACACGGCTTTAGGTACTAACACCATACCATGAGTGTGTGGAGTGTTTGTGGAGCTGAAGTAGCGTGTCCATCCAATAGGTGGCGTGCCTTCGATTCCAAGCCAGAAATGGCTGAATGTGTGTCTGTTGGTCAATAAAAGCTCCCAGCCCGGTTATTATTTATAGAACGCAAGCCAGTGTCCAATTGTTGCTCTAATTTCCATATGGCATATGGTTTTTGCTGGGTCCCTTGCCCATGAATGAGCGGATATGTCCGGTCCGGTTGACAGTCGAAATCAGATAGTGTAGGAGAGTACTGCGATATCGATTCGGAATACTATTCTGTACTATGCAAATGCAGATTGTGCTAGATTTGGATAGAGCCCACACTCTTAAAACACTTCAGTTTGTTTTTCTGAGCAAGATCTTCCCCCCAAAATGCCCTTTTCAAAAATTGATTGATTTTGGTTTATTTTTGGCAGTAACAGCTCTCGGTTTGTAGTGTTTCGATCGGCAAACGATTGGCTGGCCTCTTGAATGCCTATTTCTGCCGTTCGGTGATTTATGTCACTCAGCCAGTGACAGAGCTTTTCATGAGCCAATAAAGTTGTCCATGTCGCTTTGTCATATTCATATATCATGGCCAATACTCGCATCGTACACCCGGCGACTTATGTCACATGGTCGGTCCCTCGAAAACTGGAGTACGTATGCAGCATGGAGTATAGAGTTTTGAAGTCTGAGCCTGCGCATAAACGAAGTTTAAGTGCGCGATCGAAAGACTTCAAGACTTCAGTTTCAGTATGACGGTGACAAAACACAATTTGGCCTGGCCAAAACAGCACAGCACAGTACAGCAAACAAACCAACACGAAAAGTCGCATATAAATCAGCACACGCAGCTGGTTCATTAGACTCTCCATTCGGCTCTTGACGCTGCCATTTGGCCTGACATTAATTACATAAGCTAAGCGGCGCTTAATTATGTGCTCAACAATAGACCAAAAGTGCTTGGGACCCATTCCCCACAAATGATGTAATGGCCTCCCCAGTGCGAAAGTGTTTTTCGCCTCTTGATACCCTTATATCTAGGAGATCTTTTGGGAGTTACTCGGAAACAATAAAGGGAGGTTTTCCAAGAACTTCTAGAACTAGTAGTTAAGAGGTCTTGGTTTCTTATTCAAGGTACCTATTCTGTCTTAAAGTTCCTCAAATATGAATCTCCTTAAACCCGAAAAGGGTAAACGATCTTCGGCCTCCACCGCCTCCTAGTCCATCATATTCCCAATATTGTCTGGTGTTCACTTTCAATTCAGCCAAGAATAATGGCAATTGTGAGACAGGTAAACAACACACGAGCTGACAGAGGAACGGTCGAAAATAACAAAAACCTGAGACTTGAGACTGAGGCCGAGACAGCCACAAATTCAGATTCAGCTTCCTTAGCAATTTGTATGGGGCTTTTGTCTTTGGCGACAGCTTCCTCAAACACGCTTTTGAACTTGGAGGAGATCGGGACTGGGATTGGGATTTCGGGGCGGTGCTGTCTGGATAGAAGTCTATTGGAGAGGCGGTATAAGAGACCACCACCACCTTGGGCATAAATTGTAATTATGCCTGCCACCGCGTCGGACAATAAATCTCAAAGTATTTATCGTACAACATGACAGAAGTGGGTCGTACCTGAACCCAAAACCCAAGCCCAAAAACCAAAAGATTTTTCCCGATTTTGAGTGGAAAATGTTTTTTTTTTTTTTTTGCATATGAAAAGCGAAAACATTTAACATATTTACCCGCAACAATAACGCAAGAGTCAAACATTTTAAATGCAGTTATGACTAAATGCAAAAGTTATTTTTATGTTCAATGCCTTTTGTTGGGGGCTGTCGCTTAAAATTGTGCGCATAACTTGGAACATGAAAAGTTACTTAGAGTCGGAGAGTTAGCCGAGTCGGGGGCCTTTAATTAAAAGCGACAGGTTTCGAGACATTTTACTTTTGATACACACTGTTTGGTGTGGTACGTTGATGAAGTGCGGTCGTGTTGTTTGCTTTGATGCCGTTACTGTGCCTGTTGCAGTTGCATTGGAAGTTGCACTGGAAGTTGCAGTTATTGTAATTACATATGGCGATCTCCAAAGCCGCACCCAAGTCGAGGACCGAACACCAAACACTGAACACTGAACACTGAAGACTGTTGACCCACATTCCCATTCCATGTCCATGTCGGACTTTGAAGATGCAAATGGAACCGCATCGCGATCGCAGACGGCGCCAAATTTATGTAATCAAAACCAACCCAAATGGATGCGATGGCCGCTATGGCATTCAATGAAATTGCCAGCTTGGATTCGAATTTGATGATGTCAGCAGTAGACACCACTAGCACCACCGTCACCGCCACCACCTCCACCAGGAACAGGCCAAAAATCGGAGGCGGCAGCAACCCAAAACCTAGACAAAAAGGTTATCAATATCTCGATATCTTTTGTAAAAGTTGGCGAATTTCACTCGTAATGCAATCGCACGCAATGTCCGGTACAAAAAATATCGAAATTATATTGCCGAAGGGAAAGCCAATGGCTGATGACTTCGAATATCTCTCCTTTCTTTAATTATATAGACGAGTATGAGCTGGAGAGCATAAATCATATTGACACTCGGACTTAATTAAAACCAACCTACAAAGGCAGGTTCTAGGTGAATTTTTGTAGAAAAATCATAAATCAATGCGGCGCGCAGGCAAACTAATAAAATTCAATTTGTAATCAGAAACTCTTGCAACGCCCTACGAAATGAACCAGAAGACGAGACTTCAATCAGGAGGGCACTTAAAAAAAGGAATAGATTTGTATTATTTTTTAAAAATATTCATGATCTTTTAGGGTTAGCTTTCTTAGGCATACTGTTGAGAATGAACCAGATTTTGCTATCTAAGTACTAACCAGTTTTTTTCTGTGCATCTTACAGCATCCAAAATACCGCAACAGTTAGAACCCAAAGCGAATCTTTTGGACAAGATCCGAGGGGAGTTACGGTCTCGCTTTTGACTTCTAAGAATGCAGCTGTTCCAGCGGGGAGACTTCAGCTTTTGAGCCCATAAAAATGAATATGCCAGGCGGCTGTCAGAAAGCCAATGCCGCAGCTCTTCAGGCGGCTACTCACCGAAACCAAACAAAACCAGAGCCAGAGCCAGGGCCCAAGCCAAAGCCAAAAAAAAAAAACAAGAAGAACCAAAAACTCACTCGTAATAACAACAAAACAGCGATGAGAACAACACAACCAGGCTGAGTGTTGGCTTTTTGGAGTGACGTTTTGGGTTTGGCATCACAGCATCCCCAGCATCACAGCATCCAAACATCACAGCATCAGCATCAAGCTCAGACATATAAACAACATCGACCGGGCTCCAAGAAGAACAAAGTCAGCGCCGAAGTGCCCATGGGCCTAGAGACGGTCGAAATCGGAGCGTGAGAGCTATGAATGGGTCTCGTGATTTCAATTTTTGCATCCTGAAGCACTTGTGGCTGACAACCCTCATGGTTCTGGGTCAATCGAAGGGATCTAAACTGGGTTATTGGCAAAAATTGATTTCTAAATATAGACTCTTGAAAAAAAGTAACTTTTAGAATGTATAGACAAAAAAAACCAATGGCATTTAAAAATAAAACCCGTCTTACCCATTAGTATTAGCCTTATATTATGGGATACAATGTATGGTTTAGGTTCTAATATGCTTTCTGTTCTTAAGGGAGTTAAAACTTACAAGGAATATCGTCGATTGATTCCCATCGGAGGCTTGTCAGGCGACCATCTCTAGACTTGAAATCTTCAGATCCATGACGAGCTCCATTCCATTTCATTTTGGCCCGTTCCATTTGGCTGTTTGGCCCGCTTTGTTTACGCCGTTAACCTTGGGGGCACAGCAGCCGACCGCGACCGTCAAGAAGTGCAAAAAAAAATTAAAATCAAGTGAAAAAATGTTTGCAAAATATCAGCCAGAGAAATGAAATACCAGAGGAGAAGAAGCTGGGATTTGCATGCCAACCGAGTGGGCGGGAGGTGTTTCGGGTAGCCGGCTGGTTTAAGCCAAGTGCCAGAGTGATTGACGTCAGTCGAGCGGGCCGACTCAAGTGGAGTTTTCTTTTTCAATTTACCGAAGCCGAAGCCAAAGCTAAAACCAAAACCAAAGCCAAGCCGTGTCTTTTGTGGGTCAGGGTCAGGCGGGCAAATGTCAAACTAACCGCAGATGCACACATGGATCTCGTGCCCCACCT